TAATTTCGATGGATATTTTTTTTCCAACGCAGCAGGGTAAGTGGCTGCATCACACAGCGCGGCGCAGCACAGAAGTACCCGTGCTGGTCTGGCTGCTCCTGGACGTGCCAAAGCAGGCAGCGTGCTCCAGCTCACAGCGTAAATCCGCAGGGTAAACCAGTCTGCGTGAGATCCTGAGCAAGTGAACGCCTTCCTGTTGGAGTTAGCATGAGCCTGCAAGAGGATCTCAACATGTCCCGTGCTTTGGACTGGCAATATGTGTGTTGTAGTAGTAAATACAGCGGTTAGAAGGGTACTTAACAATGTTCTGTTTTCAACAGAAAAATTGCAACAAGACAACATTAATTTGTACAATATATATCCTTCATAAAATTAGGGTGTTGTATTGAAACATTCACAAATCAAAATACATCAAGAACCTTCACTCACAGGTAGTTCATCGCTTGCATTTTGTTATTATTGCAAAGAACTAACAGGTTCTTTTTCAGTGTTATAAAAGACATGGCCTGTATCCCAGGCTGCTTCGTATCTAGGAGATAATTATTTTTTAAAAAACAAAATACCTAGACAACTAGGAAGCCTGGAAATAGAAGCTATCTTGAATGCAGAAATTTCTTTTGTTTGTTCATTTTATTTTAACAGTATGTGGACTGCCTTGTTTACATGTATATAGCAAGAAGCATTGGCTTCACTGTAATGAAATAATCAGAACGACTTAGAGATGAGAGATGAGAGCGCCTTCATTTTGTCTCTTTGAGACCAATTCTGTCTCTGCTTTCATATATGCTACCTCGTGACTTAAGCTGCAAGCTGCCATCAGTAAACCTCAGCTATCAAACTGTCCCCAACGCCACTGTTAGGTGCTCCACGGCTGTTTTCTGGGTATATAGTTTTGAATCTGTTATCCACCTGGGTTGTTCTCTGCTTTTAGAGTGTGTCTGAATGCAGAATGTGCAGAATGTCCTGGTAGAGAAGACATCCTGTCTGCTGTCTGTAGTGTTATTAGTGCTGTTCAGCTGTGGCCTCCTCCTGCCTTGCTGTGTGCGTTTGTTTATACCTATAGAATGTGGCTACTACCAGAGGGGGTGAAAAAGATGAGATGGAGGGTAGAATTTTATCCCCCCCCTTTTTTTTTTTTAATTTGACCATATTCAAAACCGAAGTATGGCATAATCTACTCATATGCAGTAAATCCTATTAAAATCAACATTTATTAATGTCATTTGAGCAGGGATTACTGTCTCTGTGGTAGAAAAATCAGAACATTAATTGTGTTTTGTTTTGTTTTTCCTTTAGATTCTCATAGAATAGTTCTCTTTCTCTATGTGCTTTGGCTAGACTTTGGCTAGTCTAATACTTGTGTATTCTTTCCATCAGGATTATAGAGTCAACATCTTTCTAAGACAGAAGTGGAATGACCCCAGGCTCAAATTGCCCAATGATTGGAGGGGTTCAGATACACTGACAGTGGACCCAACAATGTTTAAATGTCTTTGGAAACCAGACTTGTTCTTTGCAAATGAAAAAAACGCTAACTTCCATGACGTCACTCAAGAAAATATCCTTCTTTTTATATTTCGGGATGGAGATGTCCTAGTCAGCATGAGGTATTTACTGATGTTGATCTACCCTTAATACATTTTAAAGTCAGTAAATAAACTGGTAGAATGTGTGTCCTGTGCTAGGTTTGGTAGGGTTTTTGATGTGTAATATTGTTTATAAATTGTCATAGAAACTAAATGATCCCTCCGTTTTTCAGCATATCAGCTAATATCTCAGCATAGTAGAAGTTAAAGTGTGCATTGCACATTACATAAACTAGTATTATGAGAAACACTGTTTAAATCCTTTTAATTATAGTCTAGATTTCTGGGAGCTTAATAAAATGGAAAAGATATCTGAAGCAAAAGCCTTCAGCAAAGCAATGTAATCTTCACATTTTTGAATTTCTAAATTAAAGAAAATGATGATTACTCATGATATGAAACAGAGACAGAAATTAACAAAATGGTGAATATAATTGTTTTTCAAAACTATTGAGCCATAATCCTGATTAGGATGCCATGCCTTACTGGGTAGAGATTTTTCAGAAGATCTCAAAATATTGTTTATTTTTGTTATGGTAAATGCAATCTATTTTGTACTTTGGCTCAGTTGATCTAATATATACTGTGTGCCATAAAAACAATCATTCACCAACAGCAGTGCAGTGATTGAAAAGAATATCATGATGAATTAAACATTTGGAAATACAGTGATTTGCAGAGATTAGGTTTGATTTCCTACCAATGAGAAGTGATCTTATTTTATTTATTTTAACAGAGTGACTTGGTTCATAATATTCTGATATAGGAAAAATAGTTACCTAAATATACTGGAAGTTTCTTGCCGTTAGGAGGAAATCACTTGTGAACTAGTAGTTCTATTCCTGGATTGGAATTAGCCAGAAAAGAGACAGATGGAAGATTTTTTTCTCTCTCATTCCAAATCAGGATGAGAAATCTCAATCTCCAGACTTTTGCAAACTAGAAATCTGAGAAAAATAAATCAGACAATCAAAGCGTTTCATTTGGCTCACTGTGAAGGTCCCACTTTTGATTTGAATTGTTTTTGTGTCAGGTTTTTGAAGTCTGTAGGAATTAATATTTTGAAATGGAAAGCCACTTTCATCTATAAAAGGAGCTCCTCTTTTAAAATGACAAATGTGAAAGGAAATATTGAGATTTTTCTTCAGATATTTTTCCAGGTCAGAGCTATTTATAGAGGAAGACATTAATTTCAGACTGTACTGAGTTTGGTATTGTTGAATTGAAGTTCTTAGAGAAATATTTTTGCCACTTGAAAAGTTTCTATTAACTGAAGAGTCACTGTTCATTGAACTCAACTATTCACTGAAATAGGATGATTTATAATGTCTTCCTCTATAACTAGTCTGTCAATTTTAGTAATGTAATATGTTCATAAATGGTATTTGTGAAGTTGAGATTAATTTTTGGAACTTTGGAGACTTTTATGAGATGCTATTTAAAATATATAATGCTGTGGCTTGGGTTTTTATTTTACAGTGAAATGTCACATATAAATGAATTAATCTCCAGTTATGAAAATATATGAATGGTAAAACTCATGTGAGAGAGTCTTTGCTTGGATACATGGTTAGCAGCTAGGCAATAAAGTGATAGATGAAATTCAATGTAAATAACTGTAAGATGAAGCCTCTAGGAAATATTATTCTAATGTCATATGTAAACTGGTATGTTCTGAGGAGATTATTACCAGCCATCACCCTTGGGTGATAGTGCCTAGTTCTCTGAAAATATCACATAACTTCTCAGTTGTAGCTGAGAAAGTAGGAAGTATTAGGGAATCAAAAGAATGTCAAACCACCTTATAAATCCATGGTATCCTCACATCTGGAACGCTAGATGCAGAATGTGTGTGGTTTAGCTATGGCTTTTCTTGCTGCAGGATGTTCTCTTTGCTCAGAGGTGACGTGGGTTTCAGAAAGCAATTCTTGGTGGAAAATCCACAATTCTTGGTGGAAAAAAATCTCTTATCTAAACATCACCTGTGCCTTAAGAAGTCCTTTGGGGGCCGCTTGTGGGAGCCTATTGGAGATGTGGTGAAATACCATTTTCTGGGTGCTCTAAGCTCACATTCTTCTTCAGAGATATTAGATCCTCTTGGCTTCTGCTGCTGACAGGATTCCTGTTCTGTACAGGGCTTTAGTTTGATTATTCTTATGACTTACCTACATTGTCATCCATTAGTATTTCTCTGATTTATAAAATACTCTGTGTTTACAACTACACATAAAATTTCATTATAGATTATTAGAAATGTCTAAATTTCGCACTTGTGGTATTTTTATTATATTTTTCTATGTGAGAAGCTGAAAATCAAATACCTTTGATTTTTCACCTGTTGCACTCTATTACTTGCAAGGCATTTCACGTTGTTTCTAAATGCTATTTTTTGTATTTTCAGATTATCTATTACTCTGTCATGCCCTTTGGACTTGACCTTATTTCCTATGGATACCCAGCGCTGCAAGATGCAACTGGAAAGCTGTAGGTATATCCGTCTGTGCATAGAGTTACCTTCTATACGTGCCTATGACATGACAAGCAATTCTATACTGTTTGTGTCAACATTTTGTAATGAATCTTCAAATTAACATCCACTGATTCCCATCAATATGGGAACATTTTTCACTTACGAAAAATGTTTTTACAGTTATGGAACCATACACTGCTTTTAACTTTTGCTCTCAAAAACAATGCCAGATGATTAGCTTATGGGTTGCTTTACAAACATGATGAGGTATATTTCTTAAAGAAGAGCTGTTCATGAACAAGATTCTCAGTACTTTACTTGAACAAGCTTATTTTGTTTCTCCATCATAAGTGTGATATATTCAAATTCAGGAGGATGAATGGATTATCTGCCCCTTTGGAATAATAGTGTGCATTAAAATTCCTTGTAGCTTTTTATTCCATTATCAAAAGAAAGAATTGTACCCATGGCCTTCTTGACTCCAGTCTGCCCCTGCAGTCTGAGCATTTGCCTTACTCTCCTTCCTTGCCATTAGCAGATTCTGCTGAATCTTTTTAACATCGTTTTTTTCATTCTGGTTGTTAGATTTTCAGAACATTAAAGGACACCAGCAGTACTGCAGTTACTGAAGAACTGTATTAATGGATCAAGTTAATGTGCTTATTTTGTTTAATTAAGTAGTACATGCATACGTTCTTATATCTTTGACATGAAGTTTCTGGGTAGATTTTCCAAATTGTGTATTTCCAATATTATTTTAATTTCATAGTTGCTCACATATCATTAAATATTGAAAAGAATTTTCTACTCAGTTATACAGTCATGCTAAGTTATTATGTTGACAACAACTATACATGCATTCCAAATTGGGACTTAGAGATGCCAACACAATATAGATAACTAACAGCAGTACATTAATTCAGGGCACACCATTGTTAAACAGGAGTTCCACCAAAGTCTTTTTTGGAGCAAAAGAGAATTCATAGTTATTGGAGAAGGATTATATTAGAATTCTGATAGGTAAGCAGAAATCTTTAGATTCTTGAAATCTTCAAGGCTATATGAATGCCATCTTCTGCATATTACATTCCAAACTTTCCATTAATCTTTTTTGGCTTTACTTTTCATCATACAAATCAAGAAAGATAATGTTTTAATAATAATGATGATTTTCAAGATTATAGCATTTCTAACAAAATGGGAAGAGCTCCCATCTGAAGTAAAACCAACAGGTAAACCTCCTTTTCACAAATGAAAAGAAGCATGCAATGTGCAAGGATAGAGTGAAACTCCATTTCTCTAGGTTTCAGGAAGAATTTTGCAATTTTTTTCTCACATTTCAGAGTTAGATGGTTCCTTTTTAATTTGAAGTATCAGGGATGTCTTAGTAGTCTGTATTGAACTCAGTGGACGCTTTGGACACTCTGGGTTTTGCAGGATCAATATATTTTTGTTGTAGTTTTTGTAGCAATTTGCATTCGTTATGTCTTTGGGGCTGATATCTGAAGATTCAGATAGAACAATAATGAGCACTTACACACATCCATACTAAACAGTAACATTAAAGAAATAATTGCCCTTCGAAGTCAGAACTTACCTCTTTGCCAGTCTATTAATCATGGTGTGGTTTTATTATTTCACAATATTCAAAGGCACTGGAAGCTTTCACTTATCAAGTTCTTTATTCTCTTTATATACTTTTTATATTCTCTTTTTACTCCCTTTATATACTCTTCATGTTTCTGGGTAGCAGCTGTTTAACATGAACATTGTATCTGTTCTGTCGTTATTCTGTGGCATAATCCAAATTTTCTCTTCCTTTTACGCTGACCTTTCTTCTAGTGTGACAATAATCTATATATCCCATGTTCTATAACGTCTAGATGCACTGACACTTAGCACAGTAAAATCCTTGTTTTACTTGCCTGCAATTCTCAAAGCTCTTCTCTTACCAAGATAACATAAGAAAGAAAGGAGGTTTACAGTATGATTTTGAAAATAAATTCATAGGACAGTATGGAGGGATCAAAATAACACTTCAATACAATTGAAAATTCAGTAGAGCTTTTGCTTTCCTTATTTGAGCAGTGAACACTAAAAAAATAGCTTCTTCAATAGTATGATGTTGCTGATAATATTATGCTTCACTAAGTCCTAATTTTAGACCTACATAAAAATTGTGAATTATTTCATTTTTGTGTTTATCTCTTTCCACATGAACAGGGAAAACAAGTGAAAGGAATTCACTATATACATGCTAGATATTCTTACTGATATTACTCTTGTTAAGATGTTTTTTAAACATTTAATATTACTTTTCTTTTTTGTAGTTGGTTACACAACTGATGACTTACGCTTTATCTGGCAATCTGGAGATCCTGTGCAGTTGGAGAAAATTGCTCTGCCTCAATTTGACATTAAAAAAGAGGATATTGAATATGGTAACTGTACCAAATATTATAAAGGCACAGGTAGGTAATACAAGCAATGTCTTTGATAAAAAAAAAAGCTTTCTTCAATTACTGTTTATGTTTAATGATGAGCCAGTAGTTCGTATCACTAGTAACGTAGTAACAATCATGTCTAGTAACTGCAATCTCTTTAAAGTGCAGAAACATCTAGATCAAAGATTAAAATAAATGTTTTTCTTAGTTTATGTTACCTATCTTCTTTCCGATCCTCTGTCATTGTTTTGTTTTTGTTGTCCTAATACATTTTTATGCATGCAAATGTCTAACTTTTCTGATAGAGTATTTGTCTAGAATTATGTCAGTTAGAAGAGAGTAGGACATTTATAAGTTCCTGTTCATCTTTAATTCCAGACATGGATTATATTGGAGTGTAACTTCAAATGCTTCTTCTTGCAGGTTCTTCCTTTCTCTAAGTGCTCTTGAAAGTATAGCATTATAGGAAGCTGTATACAATCCTTGGCTCTGTATTTATTCAATCTCAAGATTATTTCCTGAGCATAGGCACAAATTTATACAATGGTTTCTGTACACTTACTTCTAATGGTTTATCTTTTTGATTGATTCTTGTCTACAATTATATTTTAACTGCTCACATACCATGGAAAGCACAAGCTTTTCCTTAACAGAACTTAACAGGGTATATTTTAGTCAGTGCTTTTGCATAATGAGCATAAATCTGCTGTTAAAAACTCAAGGACAGCTGAGAAGCTGAAGCTGCTGAGGAGCTGAAGCTGCCAAGGATCTTGTGCAAGTTGCTTGGTGGCTGTTCTGTTAAAGTCTAGGATCTGGTACCTGCATTCGTTCTTGAGCTAGATCCCCGTTTTTAAGAGATCTTATGTAATCTTAGTAGATCTCAGAGTTAAGAACTTAACTTGGAAAAGGCAATGGAAACTGAAGTGAAAATAACAATGAGGTTGCGAAGTAGCGAATGAATTGAGTGTGGGCTTCCCAAATAAAGCTCATACAAAGTGGCAAAATTGGAGCTCATTCAATTCCCCCCCCCAAAAAAATAAAAATCATAAAGATATTTGAAGTATCTTTAGAACTTAAAAAAAAAATTAATCATTGTATGCACTATCATTAAACCAAAAAATAACATTCTTTGAAGTTTCACCACCTAGTGACCACAAATTAGAATTATTCACTGTGCAAAAATGCTCAATAAATTAGCAAAATTGTCACTTTTTTGTATGATTTGATAATTAAAGAAAGAACCTTAGAGAAGGTTCTCTGTCGTGGGTTGGAATGACAACATGGAGTTTCTAACAGTTTTCATAAAACCTTTTTTTGCTAAACATTTTTGTTTAAAAATGAACATCATGCATCTTATCTTATCATCAAGACTTTGAATTAATATGAACGGAATGTTTCAGTGCTCTGAAGTGTTTTTATAGGCTGCCTCCAGGAATGAGTAGCTGTTTGATTTACATTAAATTCTTATACGAAGGCATTTCAGGATACAGATTTTGCACATGTAATTAAAACTAATTCTGTTAAGGATTGTGTAGGGATCAAGAGTCGCATTGCATGTACACACAAGTTTGCAAAATTATGGCTTATGCAAGAGATTCTCGACAATTACAAAGGACTGGATCTTTTCCATCCATTTATGTCAGCTGGTGTTTAAATGGACCTATGTAAATTGAGTGAAGGTCTGCAAATTTGGGTGACTTTTTTGTGGCAAACAATTGAATGTTTAAATTTGCAAGCTGCATACTCTGTGTTTGTCAAGATGTATGGCAGATCCAAATAGGTCCTCAGCAGCTGAATGGTGGGGGCAACAGTTATTATTCTGTGCCTGATAAAAGGTGATACAAAGCTATACAGAATGTACACCTACAAAGAGATCCCGAATTTCTTCTTGCATTAAAAAAAATCATTTCTTCCATAAAACAATTATCATTTTAAATGCTATACTTCATATGAAATTAAAACCTAAAAATATCTAAAAATTATTTACAAATTACAGGGGGAATTCCTCAGGCAGCTGATCATTGAAGATGATAGAATGAGCTGTAAAATACAATATAGTGTCTTCCACACAGCAAGGATTTTTTTCCTTAATGTTTCACTGTTTTGATTTTTTTATGCTCAAACACCACTTTCAAGTTGACTTATCATTCTAGGATACTTAATTAAATATTAGAAGGCAAATAGATCTATTATTAGAAGGTAAATAGATCTACTTTTGCTATATTCTGTGCTAGTTTTGCACCAACTTTGTTTATTTGCAGAGCTGGACTAAAAGTGAATTTTGATATTGTTGTAATATAATTTAGCAATAACTTCTTTTCCTGAAATAATCATTTAAGATATTGGGTTTTTTACAATTCCATTATGTTAATATTTGCATAAAAATGCCAGTGCTGCCACACAATTGAAATCGAGAACAGAATTTTTTTTCTGGCTACGAGATTTCCTAATTCTTTTGATATATCTGGCAGAACCTCTGGCACCTGCTGTTTTATGTTTTACTCAACTCCCGCTAACAGACAGATTCTGAAATGTTTCTGAGATTCTGAAAACTCTTTTTTTCCACAAATGGCTGCTAAGTAGGGTTCTCAGGTGAGCGATCCCGGGGCGGCTGCCGGAGCCCGTTGGCTGGATCTGCCCCGTGCCTCGAAGCCGCTATCAAGAGCAGTCTCTGGGTTTAGCTACCGGTTGCTTCCCCCTGTGGAAAAAGGGGGACGCCTTTTAGAGCAGGGTCCCCCTTTTAGAGCAATGTGCCTGGGCACATTTGGAGCTGTTCCAGTCCGTGCTTTGAGCACTTCCTCCAAACTGAGCTCCGGGCCTTTTTAAAGAAAATCCAATCTCTGAGCCTTTGCTATTAAACCTAGGAGGAAACACGTTAACAGATGCTAATCTGAAGAGGTTAACCTGTAAGGCGCATTAAACGTTAATACATTTATTTCTTTAAAGGTTATTATACTTGTGTAGAAGTAATCTTCACTTTAAGAAGACAAGTTGGATTTTACATGATGGGTGTTTATGCTCCTACACTGCTAATTGTTGTTCTGTCCTGGCTGTCATTTTGGATCAATCCTGATGCAAGTGCTGCAAGAGTCCCACTGGGTAACCTGTGTTTGCACATCCTATCACGAGCCGCTCCGCCACCCATTCGCAGTTGCTTTGACAACATGACCCCGAGCACTGAAAGCAACTTCACTTCCATTACCAACTCCTCATTTTCACTGAAACCTCCTCATTTCTAGTCCTGTAAAATGCATCTCCACATTGAGACTTTGCTTGATGGTGGTTCCAGTGCTTATGTGATGGGCACACTGTCTGCTCCTCTGTTGGCACAAACCTGATCTTATCCATGTACAGCTGATGCTGACACTGCAGCAGTTGCATTTTAGAATATAAATCTTCTTTTTTTTTTCCCCTTTAAAATACTAAAAGTTATTTAGGGAGGAGTAACATTCTTTATTAGCTTGATTGCAGATAACAAACATATTTTCTTACCTTGGAAAGAAGTAAGGATGCGTTCCATAATGTGAAGTAGAGACATTTCAAGAAGGAAATAGTGTGGAGAAAATACAGTATATCTGAAATTAAAAAGATAGAAACAGAAAACAGATATATTTTGCATTTAGTGAGCTCCATTATGATCAAATTCTGAGCTGTCATTCTACTTTTATAGTTCTATAATCCCACACATCAAAAAGGTGACCAGGAAGGTTTAATTAATAACATATAATGGATGTAAGTGGCAAAGTCCTGATTTATGTATCATTGGTCTGTCTGTGTCTATACCTATATGCTTTTTATGTTTTTATTAGTTTCAATATGTTTATTGTTTTCTCTTATGTATTTACATCTCTGAACTAACGCATTTTCAAAGATACTAACCATTGCTGGTTATGTGACTTTTCCTGGATCCCCAGGGAAGCAGCAGGCGTTAAACCTGACCACTCTTCAACCATGAGCCTGCATTCAGTGATCGAGTTGGTCATACTGTGGTGGTGGGATAAGACTTTCCCCTTCTCCAATTTGTAAGACAGCAACAAACTACCTCTTATAGGTGCCACCTTGAAGAAGGTTGACCTCAAACCTAACACCTTTAACATTTCTGTGGAAAGTGATTGAAAGAAAGTGTTGCTAACAACCATTATAGTTTTAACAGCTAGACACAGATCTCATCAGAGGGAGAAAGTACTTCCGATTTGCTTTGAGTATCTTAATACAGTTGTCCTTGGAATTAAATATAGTGGACTAGTGGTCCCCATGGAGTCACAGAAGTTTCCATGTGATTTAGGAATACAAGATAGTTGCAAACCAGCAGTTGCAAACCACACATATTTTTGTGTATTGATCCATGAGTGTTACAGAGCACTCTCCAGTTCTTTACAGGGGGAAAGCATGTCCATTAAGACTTTTCCTTTCTTTCCTTCACTGTCTGATGACCCCCAAGGGGAATAAGATCTTCCCTCATCCTGAAGGAATCCAAGGGATTTGTGCCTCCCAGCCACCCACAGCTTCCTGAAGAATGGAGCGTTATTGTGGAGCGAAGCAGCCACCCAGCAGGCGCTGCCTCCCGGGGTGCAGGCGAGGAGCGCAGAGCTTGGAGGGGCCTAACCCGTTCCAAGGCCTCAGAATGTGCCAGCTTCTGTGCTGCAGATTGCCCAGGTTTATTTAAGATAGCTTAAATAAGATAAGGGTGAGAAATGGCAGAGGCGCATAAAATAGGAAAGTGATGAAAGATTTTTTTTTTTGATGTGAGAAATCTTGAAAGTATGCCTTGGAATAAAAATACTGTGTTCTGAATGAATGCTGACAACTCAGAGGAAGAGAGGAAATATTGTTACTCTTGTTGATATTTCAAAGAAGCCTTTCAAAATGAAGAAGGTATGTGATAGGAGACAGAAACTAATGATGAAATTATTTTAATGCCATTGTATTTGCTAATCCTTCATATAAGTATGGGCATAGTGAGAGGCTGAAGGAAAAGGAGCCCCCTTATTTTACGACCTTGCACTTGTTTCTATGTATTCCCTATGTTAAAGGACTACTAAATTTGAAGCCAAATATGCCCTCCATCACTCCTGCCCACCAGTCTGTCTTAATTCTGGTCATTTCATTTTACAAAATGGTAACAAAAATAGGTCTCAAAGGAAAGCCATAAAGAGGGTTTTAAAAGCTGGGATATGAAGAAGGACTGTCAAGATTATGTCTTTTAGGTTAAAAGTTTAGTGAGAGAAAAGATTATATTAGAGAGACCAGTTTGTAAGGAAGACAAGACAGAGTGCTACCTATTTTAATAACGTTAGTGAGATGAAGACAGACATTTTTAAGCTGGTAATATAAAATAGGAAATATTATTTTATATTGCATAGGATTAACCTGTAGAATTTATTGCCAGGAGACAGTGCTGCAGCCAATAAGTTTGGTGAATTGAAAAAAAGAGGGATTTATTTATTTGGCTGAATGTACTGAAGTGCTCTGCTTGATCAGCTCTTTATGATATTATCCACACGTAATGTTAGATAATATTTTAAAAATAATGGCTCTGCAACTTCGTTTTTCATCTGGGAGCTGAACTTACTGACAGGGATTGAGAAGAAAATTCTGTGAGCTGGTAATTTCAATATTAGGGTATTAAGGAGTCTTCCACATGTCACTGAAACAGGAGCTGGATGTTGGTAGTAGGTCTCCTTCAGTACTGCAGATCCTGTGAGCTTAAGTTGTTTATCTGCTCCATGTTCATGTTTAGGAAACATCTAACTTCCGTAGCCAGATTCATCAAAAGACTCTTCAGTGTGCAGATGGCAAAGCTGGAATAAGGAAAAGCTGTAAGGAAGAGGATTTAGAAAGGGAGTATCAGCTTCAAGAGAAGTATAGTATTTCTAAATGTTTCAGGTAGAAAAAAATTCTAAGTTGATGCAGCTATGGAAAAAGTTTGCCAAAAATAGCAGACATTTCCTGGCAGGGCCAAGATTTCCTTAGCTTAGCAGGTCTGGAGGAAAGAGCTCATGTCCCTTCACTTCAGAATTTCCTGAAAGGAAAAGAGAGAGATTTTAGAAATATATATTTTTAATAAGTTATCTTACAGTTTGTTCATTCTAATCACTCATTTGGGGCCCTGTGCTTTGGCCTGGGTTAGATAGGTACCTGAAACAACAGCGACTTACAGCTCTGGTGCTAGGGCCTCTGAGGCTGTGCCAGTTCTGATTTGGCAGCAAATGTTGCTTAATGGAATATTTCTGTCATTCTGTAGTGTTTCCTTGAAAACCTAGAAGATTTTCTTTAGTCTCTCTGACTCTGAGACTGAACTTTTCCTCCTAGAAATACAGACAAATGGAAACCAGCAGGAGGTCACCGTGACCTCAGGTGCCACGCTGAACAAACTGATGGGAGTTCCACTGTAATCCTTTCAGCCAGGAGAACTTATAAGGAGTTTTCTAGAATTAAATCCAAGATTGTAAGCACTAGTTTACGTAGTGGTTCTACAAATGTTTTCAACACCAGACTAAGTAGTAATATGAGTGTTAAGGCAATAAACAAACACCTCTAAAATTAGTAAACTCTTACAATAACAAAGCTCTTCAGCCTGTCCATATTATTAACTGATTTAGTTATTCAGGGTTAGGTTGCCTTTCAGAAGTCTACCATAGAAGTGCATGGTACGTGCTGCAGTACGTTCTTATAGGCTGAATGGAAAGCTGGATATCAAGAGGTTCTTTAAAGTAATATGCTTTAAAGTAGTACAGACTTATTTGTACTTATTATTACATTTCATAGTGAACCGTAGCCAGGGTTCAGCTCAAGGAAGTCTTGGTCAATGAAAATAAAGAGAAAAGTGCCTGTTCTCTGTGCACTTTCTATCCTTGTGTATGTGTTTATGCTCGAATGCTGCAGCTATAACGATATAAAACAAGCCAGAGCAGACACTGGACTTTGTTTGTTCAGTATTTGCCAGGTGATTCTAGTCTGATGTAGCACAACTGGCCATGCCATTTACTATCCCAATGGAAAACAAAATGCAGCTTTGCAATGGTATGTTGGTATTCCACATTTCTAGATAAAACACTATAAGTTTTTTTATTTTAAAACCATATGAATGTTATTCATGTAATGCAAAAATGTTTTACTATACCTCCTCTTTAGCACTTTAGCAGCTAGTAAGTGGCCCATTTTAGATTGATATCATAGAAAGGGTCATTTCAATCCTATTAAAATCCAAACAGGAAGAGCAACAAAACAATGCTGTGATATTTGTAATCATCTAGAATTTAATATTTTCATGGGCCAAAGCAAATACCTTCAGTAACATTTCCATAGAATTACAAGGGTTTTTTCGTGCTTTGGGTAATGCATGTGACCAGTACAAGAAGCATAGTTAAGGCTAACTATCTACTTTTGACGAAAATTTTCTATAGAGCTCGATTATATTACATCAGACTGCCCAGATATGACTAATAGGCATTTTTATCATTATTATTCACAAAATCAAAATTGGAAATTCTTAACTAGGAGGCTGAGATAAATTTCCCCCATGTGAAAATCATTCTAAAGTCATCTTTTTCTAAATATACTGTTCCCTTTTCATATGTATCTGAGATAAATATTTCCTTGAAATCATACTTGCATTTTGTCTCTTGTGAAATAAATCCTGTGTTAAAGTGATGTGTGGGAGCCTTATAATGGGCACTGCTTGTTGAAACAAGTGCGATGATGACCTTTCAGCAGTCCTTTTTTGTTTTTTTCATTATAAGACTTTCCTCAAAAACTCTCTATCTAGAAAACTTCCTTTGGATATTGAAATCTCAAATACTGAATGATTATAGACTCTCAGTCACTTTAGTATTTTCCTCTTCGTGGTGAATTGTGAACACAGTCTGTTAGGCGCCAGGACAGTTTTGCTCTTCAGCCAAAACTCCTCTTTCACATAAAGTTTGCATATTACCTGGATGGATTCATGCTTTGAAGAATTGCTTCTGCTGTAGCACAATTCAGATTTCTGGGACAACTGTAGCTCCTCAAGCCTAGTTTGAGGGACTTAGGAATCTTTGGTTTAAGTAGCATTTCTCTTCCACTTCTCCGGAATTAGATGCAATTGTATAATGTGCGATGGAGCAGGAAAACGACAACAACCAGCTTAGCTTCTCTTACCTGTCTCTCCATTTATAATACATAGATACTCATTATTAATAACTCATCATTAACTGTAATATCCTTTGTAAGTGTTCTGTTTAAGTGATTTAAATGGATAGCACAAGCACGTCATATACTTGTTGCAAAATACACCTACCACATTGTGAAGTCCCATTCTCTGTTACAAAATACCATCATTCGGTACTGTCTGTTCCAGAGGAAGAGCACAGAAAGTGTCAAGGAGGGTAGGATTTGTTTAACTAAATGTTGTCTTTCTGTTTGTAGGTATTTTCTCAGTGCTGAGCTTGGCATCTGAATGTACTACTCTTGCTGCTGAACTTCCCAAAGTGTCTTACGTGAAGGCTTTAGATGTGTGGCTGATTGTTTGCCTTCTCTTTGGGTTTGCATCGCTGGTTGAGTATGCAGTGGTTCAGGTAATGCTAAACAATCCAAAAAGAATTGAAGCTGAAAAAGCAAAGATTGCCAAGGCAGAACAAGCAGAAGGAAAAGGTGGAAATGCAGCCAAAAAGAACACTGTGAATGGTACGGGGACTCCTGTCCACATCAGCACTTTACAGGTAAGAGTCGTACAGTTATTCTAACAAAATCAACATTATCCTCTGTTAACTGAATTCCAGAAATATACCATTGTTTGGATAGTGTTTAATCTTAGAAGTGGCCAAGACGCTAAGAACATGCTGGTAATTAATGGCCAGCCATCTGAGCAATTAGTCCCTAGTGACCTGGGGTCAGATGCTGCTAAATGAAAAAAAAAAATGCCTTTTAGTATCCTAGCATAAGATAGTAAAGTATAGGTTGTTGCTGATCTTCAGGTAAGTTAAGCAGCAAGTGACTTTACACTTGCTAATTTTTTACATCTAATAAATAACAGCTGTTGAAACATAAGTATTCAGAGAAAAGGGCTTCCAGTCTAATTGTTGAGATCATACTCAAATAACACTCATCTCCTTTCCTTGGGTTGGTCACTGCTGCACTGCATTATATATGAAGAATTTGTAAACCCAGGCATCCAGAAGTCATGGTATTTGCAAATACAAGATGGATCTCTTTGCCTGTCAAATAATTCCTGTATTTGTTGTTTTGCCAGGTAGAGGGTACGGGTAGATCAGTCAGTTCTCATGGCGAGAGATCAGGCCAAGGCTTTCCATAAAGATGCTAGCTTTTCTAGAACATTTGTGTTCCAAGAAGTATCAAACATTTCCAGCCAAGCACCACCAGCTCTGAGTGATAATTAGTTGATGTTTAATCTGCAGCAGAAAGTACATTATGCTACAGTAAGTGGAATATGAATTTGGCGTGTATTTTTCAATTAATTAAACATGTAAAGTTATTAGGCCAAATCCAATTGATAACATCTGTGGAGTGCAATATGATTTCAAAGCTTCTTTAGGGAGGAAATAGAAGTTTTATCGCAGAATGCGGAAACCCTGCCCTAAAATAAAGCTGGCATTATCCAGAGGACATTATCACAATACAGTGCACTTCACTACCATAATTCTCAGCCTATAGGAGAGTCTCCTGAAATCATTTTGGCGGACAACCAGGCTCAGTTTGGAATAACCCCATGCCTGCTTTGACTTGTGTCACAAGCAATTCCTTAACCCCAGGCAACATGGGAATTATAAGCAGAAGAAAAGATGGCACAGCTACAGTTTGGCTTCCGCTGAACAGAGTGTGATAATTGTGTTTAACAATGTGAGAGATCCCAGCTTCAGCTCTTTCTTGTGACAAAATAGTTTAGTTGCAGCAATCCAACAGAGCAGCATAAAATCTTTATTCCTTTTCTGGAGTACTGAAAATGTTTAAAGATACAGCAGGATCAGTGAAAATATTGATAAAGGACTGCAGGTGTTCTATACTTTGAACAAAAGCGTGTTGGTAAATTACTGACTGTCCTGAGTGTGTAAGCCTTAAAAGGTGTGCAAGGTGCTTGCCAGTCATAGCCATAAAGAGAAAAAAAAACAAGCAAACAAACCAACAAAACACTTCTCTCATCTGATGCCATTCTGCCATTTTTTAATAAATATTTACTAAAAGAGAAGGTTGGGTATACAGTGCTTGTGAAGGCTTAGAGGAAGAGGAGTTACTGTCCACAGAAACTGTGCAGCATTTCCCATGAACGACGTCTTCAGCTGAAGATTCTGGGGACTCAGTCCTTAGTCTCTTCTCCAAGATTTTGTGGTGCCAGCATGTCTCATGTTTGACCTGCATATTTCAGTGTGTTCCCTATCAGAGATGTTTAACATTAGACTATGTATGTACTGTATTTATATAAACTCTGTGGAAACTCTGCAACAATAATATGTGCTGGACATACATACAGAATCTTGGTCATTTGTGCCAAGCTGATGATGATTATGCAGATAATTATAAAACATTCATTTGCTGAGACCTGTTGAAAAGATGCCTTCGTTGCCCTAAAAGCCATCCCTGTGTTTGAGTCATGTCCCCACCTTATTGCTTGTGTCCAGTCAGCTGTTCTGAAATACAGCCTACTTGGGAACAGCTCTTCTGGCCCTGCGATTCCTGGGAAGGTCATCAGGTGGAAAGAGAGCCCAGACAGCGAATCATACAGCGATTAGAGCGCCCAGTACAGTGTTATCAGCACGCTTTGGGGAGCCGGTGCGCTGAGGCCAAGGATAACACTAGTGATAGTTTAACTGAGCTGAAAGTTTAGAGAAACTTTCAAGAAATAGCAGGACAGTAGTTGGCTTCTCAGGTCACTTAGGAGTCACGTGGTCAATTTGCAAAATTGAGAGGATTGCTTTGTGTTAAAGGAAAAACTCTGAGCAACCCTCAATTCATTCTGTGGTAACTTAATAAATCAGAATTCAGTTCCAAAAGTGATGATTTTAAAAGTTTGAGGAACAGGAGAAGTAATTGGCAGGCGGAGGACTAGTGGAGCAGAGTGATTGACAGGCAGGGTGGCTGCTCGTCTAGAGTTCCTGAAGTGCCCCCTTTCAATTAGAAGTGCAAAATTTAGCTGAAGAAGATATATGAGCCCAGATTAACAACTAGGAAAGATTGTGTTCAATAACAGGAAAGATGGGGGGCTTAGGTGAGCCTATGTATGACCTTAGGAGAAAAGGAGGACAATTTGGAACTCCAACCCTGGAGTGAATGTGCATCTCTAGAAATGTTTGAGCGCTGTTAGGGTACGATCCCAATTCTTTGATCATAAGAGGAATACAAAAATTTGAATACACAAAATCCTGAAACATGGGAGTTGATACTAAGGCAAAGGGGATGGAGGGAATAGTTGGATGTTGGGGTGGGAAGGTGACAAGCACAGGGAAGATTAGAGTCAACAAGGATTACTAGCAACTTCCTACAACCCATTAAGTGGTTGTTTGTGGGGCACACAAGCATGTAGGAATTCATATTTTACTGTTTCCAGTCCTCATGGAACAACTTGTTTTCATTTGCTTGGACCATTTATGAAAGAGAAAAAAGGGATCTGGTGTGAAGGCTTGACATCTTTAATATTAAAAGAACATATTCCTAATAAAACCACACCTAAAAATACAATCAGCTATTGTCCCTTTTATCACAAGAAATTGGATGAAGGGATAAACTTTTCCTCAAAACTAAAACCTTGATGCCTTTTGAAGGTAATGAAAAGAGCTTCCTTGCAACAGAACCTGCAAGCATCCAGCTGGGAATTCTCAAATGGAAGCACAGTGATCATGACTGATAGTCACCAATAATCATAGTAAAGATGGCAAGATATGTATGTGTTTATACATATGTATTGTCATGCTTACAATTTGAGAATCAAAGCTGGAGAAAACCTTCCATGGATGCACAGAATTGGCATAGATGCATGGATGCAAATCCTGGGTTCTCACTGAGGCTCTCAAGAGCCAATGCTTTATGACATCCTTCTTCCCTCCAACTTCAATACCATTTTAAGACCATGGGCTCATCAATATGTCAGTCTCATTAAAGTCAAATGATACATCTGCCAAAATCACCAGGAGGCTGTTGAAAGAAAATCACCCTGAATCTATAGAAAGAAGAGAAAAATCATAAGCGCTTTAGTGGTTTTGCTAGAAGCTCTAATGACCATGTATTTACAGAAGAAGCCGTTAAAAAGAATATTTTGGCTCCTTTAGCTCATTGTGCCTGCAAGGAGCTGCTGCTCTAAGCACAGAAGAAAATTATGCAAGCTGGTGGCAACCATTGGCAGTGTTTTTCACTGGGAAACCTCAGTAGGAGTTTGAGCGTGTCTCCTAGCAATGCTAACATCATGCAGCGAGAAAAACAAGCAGAAAGGGAAATGTTTTGGAGATGAATAAGTTTCTCTTTGCTGTCACTCGTGGAGGGATTACAAGGAGAGATGGCACTCTTAGCTGTAACAACACCCTTCAGTTTGGAAAATCACATTTTCATCAAGCCCATTTATAGGAACTGTCCCACACAGATAATCTGCTGATGACGGAAGTGAACATTTGCTAAAAGAATGACTCTGGGAAATGATGAATACTTCTATACAAGTGATGATAATAACCCTAAACCCGGTTATTCTTAAAGAGAAACTGTGAGAAACTTGCCTCATCTTGTCAGAGCTGCACCTAAGCTCTGAAAAATGATATATGTGATTTTTCATCTCTATTGTTTTATAGTATGGCTTCTATTGATTTTTAATATGTCTGACCACTCAGGCTGAACTGTGGTGATCTGATATTCTTGTATACTCAAGTGATACTCCAGATTTTCATGTAGAACCATCAGAATTCTAGTTTGCATTTTGTCTTGTACACAAAAACACCAACTAAAGTGTATTTTAATAGTTGCTAACAGAAGTTCAGGTACACAGTAGGTACTTTCTGTTCTAGTAGCTCATGCATCCATCCTTGGATATCTTCAGAACACGACTGTAAAAATGCCCAGAACAACCTCTTCTTGTTGACCCTGCATTGATCAGGGATCTTGGACTAGATGATCTCCAGAGGTCTCTTCCAAACTCAGCTATTCTATCATCCTGTGCTATATTGTTTTTAGATATTATTGTGGTGTGCTTTGTAGTTGAGAATTTGCAAGCAGTATAATATGTGGGATGTGATACCAGATTCCTGCTTGCTGAACTGCACTAGACTCATCAGTCTCAGGAGTTACGAATGCTGTACAATCATCACTTTGTTGACTAGCCTTGCATCTGTCATTATGATAACAGCAAAGTTCAGTAAATCAGTATTTCTGCAGGAAAAAATGCAATAAACATTAATAAACAGATTCTGTTAGAACTGCTGCTTCATTTTGTAGGGAAGACTCTTACAGAACTGGGAGAGCTGGTGGTAGATTTGCCCTGCAAAACAGGTTGGATGCTGCAGAAAAGAGAATTTCCTGGCCAAGAAAATTTGCTATGTTGGGCAGAGATTGCTGCATCACAGGAAGGAGAGGCTTTAGCTTGAGGGACTCATGCTGAGGCCTGAGAGGCTACCAGTGCTATAATATGGTTGAAACTTCTCTAGAAATTACAGACAATGCATTTCTGATCTCAAAAATTCCTGCATCCCCAAGGGTGGAGCTTCTTGCAAATCTGAAAACTATTTTGATTCATCTGGAAGGAATAATTTAAATGAAATATTAGAAATGATTCTGGTGAGATGTTTAAGAATGTTCCAAAAGGAACATTCCTTATGGAAGGAGAGGAGAGGAGAGGAGAGGAGAGGAGAGGAGAGCATTTGAGCATTTGCTTTTTCTTTTTACTGGCAAAAGGAGATATTGATAGCAATATATATGTAGTTGAAATGTAGAAAATGTAGGAAGTAGATGTAGAGACATGTGGGAAAAACAAAAAGACATGGGAAACCATGCTTAACATATATGTGGACATTAGGAAGTTATTTTACTATAATAAGAATGAATAACTAATAACAAGAATATTGATCTAATTCTAGATAGAGATATTGTAAGTGTCAGGCATTAACAGTAAAAGCAAAAAAGCTGGACAAATATCCTGGTCTGTGGCAAAAACCCAGATATATTCGGATCAGATAATGATGAAATAGCTTCTATCGACATTTGCTGATGAGGATGTTAATCAGTAGCTATTAAAGTTAGATGTTTTAAAATCAGGATGTCAATTTAGCTTGCCTCTAGGATTTTTTAAAGAGCTGATCCGTGAATGCTATGGAACTTTAATGTTGATTTTTTAATACGTGTTTTAAAACTGGGAGAATTCCAAAAGACTGCAAGGAGCTAACTTTGTGCCACTACTTTTAAAGGCTAAATGGAATAACATAAATAATTGCAAGCCTGACACCCATCTGGGGGAAATATTGAACAGTTAACATGGGCCTATAAATAGATACTATTTATAGTTATTAATTAGTATTAATATTAGTCATATTTCAGCCCATGTTCACAAATAAATTTAAATAAATATCTCAGTGAAATTACATCTGATCTGCATGTTTATTTACTTACCCAAATTGAAGATAATTTTTGTAAAGATTCTCAGTCAGGTTGACAACAGCAATGGTGCTGAGGCAAGGTGTTCTGAGGAACATTTGACTTGGCTTCCTATACCAGACTGAGGCTCTGACGCGCTCGGTTACGTAAAAGGTGAGAATGGGTGATCACAACAGACCCTCTGGCTTCTCGGAGTCACTCTTAGGTGTTTTTGAAGTGTTAATCAGAGCGCGGGTGTCCCATGTGACACGTAAGGCAAGGTGGCCCAGTCCTGGCAGAAACTGGAACTAGCCCGGCGTTCTGGGACAGGCCCCGAGAGCCGCGTGGCCCCTCCTCAGCCTCCCCCATCCTCATCCTCGGCACCGGTGGGAACAGGAGCAGCCGCCCGGCTCCCGGGACAGGTTGTTTCTGGGACAAGGGCAGGACGCTCGCTCTTCAGTGACGTCCATGTCCCAAACCGCTCCTCGTTCGCTCCAGGGAAGAGGCCACGGATCTGGCGGGAGCGTTTGGCCCACTGGTGTCTGCTGGGCACTGCTGAGGCAGGATAAAGCAAACGCTATGAAATGTCACAATAAAGCAGAAGCGATAGGACAGGCGTGGAAGCCTTTAATGGTCCTTTACTCTCTTCACAAATCTTCACGTGTGCTGCTTTAAAATCACGATCTGTGATTTCATTTGATTTTCCATGGAATTGTCCTTATAGCCTTTGATAGGTGTCAGGAATGTGGTTATGCTTCTAACACAAACCAAGTTTATCAGTATTAATAAAAAGCAGATAAGATACATTTCATTTACATTTTTTTTCATTTTGTTTCTGGGAAACTGTTGGCAAATTAAAAAGAGTTTAGATAAAAACAACATAAATATTTAAGAATTAAAGAGATTGTTATATTAGATGAAATTAAAAAAGATGTCTAGGCAGCAACTGAATATAGAAAACAGAAACACATTAGATGTGTAAACCCAGGGAAATTAAAGAAATTATTTTTCTCAAAGAGCATAATTAAGTAACATACACATTAAAAGAGAAAAATTTGGGACAGTTGCTCTTTTAAGGAATACGGTGTCACCCTGATAAATGAGTGCTGCAGCTGATACTGAACTAAGTAAAGCTCTGTGTGAACACACTGTGAGCAATCCCATAGCTGAAGGAGCAGGTGACCTAGAAGCTCTTCCTCGATTCTGCTTCCTGCAAGTGAATGAGAACAAACCTGGAAAAGCCTTTACAAGAATTGCATTCTAAATCCTGGAGCTGGAATATACTGGGCTGTGTGAAGAGAGCACTTGTACTTGAATTAGCATCACTAGGTTTAACAATACACCTTTGAGAGCATGAGGAATGCATTAAAGTATGCAAATGCAAAAGGGTCTATAGTTTCATAATTGCTATTTCCTTTAACAGGCTTATTAAATCGTACTAATTTTGAGCATGGAAAAAACAGGAATTTGATAAAGAGCTAATGAGCTAATATTCTTATGACTCTTTACCTAACTTGCCCCTTAGTCCTGCATGTTACCCTTCCATTACACAAGGGTATGGTTCACATCTTAATTGCACAGGGTTGGAAGGAGCCTCTCAGATCGTTAAGTCTAATCCCTAGCAGCCATGTCATATAGCATCACACGGTCATGTTAAAAATATGCTCCAGAATATTTTAAATATTTATTTAATCATTTAGTAATCATTTTAAATAATAATCCATGAGTCTGGTACTAAATTTCACCATAATTATTTTAATTATTTACAATATGTGATAAAGCAAATATGCTGAACCATCAACCTAGAACTGCAGAAAAAAAAAATGCAGGAAAGTCATGAAAGTAAAATGCCTGAAGGCACCGTGGTTGAGACAGGCTGCTGAGGAGGAGCACGGGAGCTTTCGGAAGAACCACGTTTTAGGGGATCAGTGACTCTAGGAAGCCCTAGGATAGACTTCTCTTAATGATATTTATCATTATGTATAAGCAAATTTGTTAACCAGCATTTTTCCAATTAAATTTCAGGTTATATTTGTGAACAAAGAGCATTGTTAAAAATGCAATTTTGTTTCCTAACCTGCATCCTTTTCCTTTCCTTTTCCTTTCCTTTTCCTTTCCTTTTCCTTTCCTTTCCTTCCCTTTCCTTCCCTTTCCTTTCCTTCCTCTCTTTTTTTTTTCCTATGTGCTTTGTATAGTCCAAATTAAATGAAGCACAGAGAGACTTTTACCAAAATCACAAAGCACAGTTACTGTTGCTGGTGCCTTATAAATAGTCTCCCAATCCCTTCAGGCTCTGTAAGGAGTGTGGAGTTGTCCTCTTGGAGATTTGTTGCACCTGAAATAAAAGCTCTCTAAAACCCAAGGAAGGGAATTTAGAATGTTTTTTTACTTCTAAACACTCCAGTCTGAAGGACACCAAATATGTTTTTTTTCTTTTAAATACTCACTGTGTGTGCCAGCAGGATTGTCTGGTCTGTAAAAGACAGTGATTCACTTGGGGTTATTCCTTAATTTCAAGAGCACAGGGAAGGCTTGACCGAGTTGCAAGACAGGCAGGTGTTGAGTGGCTCCGTTTGTACCTCCCGGTTATGTCACCCTCCCGCGTACCAGCGGGGTGCAGCATCTTCGTTAATTGTCTTTTTAGAGGCATCAAGCACTACAGATAGAAAAAAGCTGCAAGATGGTTATTTAAGATGAGATTTGTGATCTTGAACTACCTAGAACACAGAACTAGTTTGTAGTTCCAACTTCATTTGTTGGACCAAACACTGTGTTTGGTTAATTGGAGGTTTAATTCTGGTTGGAGCTTCGAGGCCTCAGACAAATCCAAGTATTGAATTACATCTGTCTTGCAGTATCAAGTTATCATCAGCACAGAATCCATTTCCAAAACTGTTTTCTGCAAAAATAGTTTCTCCCCTCATATTGTCTTCAAATGGAGGAGTCTAATGACAGCAGGTTGTGCAGCATAAGGTACCTTGTGCATGAAAAATTGTGCAATTATGAATGTTTAGGTTACTTTATATGATTGACTGATCATCCTCAAGTACTTCATAATGCAGCCATTCAGCAAATTAAGCTGAAAGAGTGAATTCCTATCAGCAAGTGTGTTTGCTTGTGGCGTTCTCTAGCAGCTGCACTGTTTGTGGATGGAATATGATGAGCAGATCATGATTCCCCTCACTCTTTATTTCATAGGTTGGTGAGACCAGATGCAAAAAAGTTTGCACTTCGAAATCTGATCTGAGATCCAATGATTTCAGCATTGTTGGAAGCTTGCCAAGAGATTTTGAATTATCAAATTATGACTGTTATGGGAAGCCCATTGAAGTCAACAATGGGCTCGGGAAATCTCAAGCCAAGAACAACAAGAAGCCTCCTCCTCCCAAGCCTGTCATTCCATCAGCAGCAAAGCGAATCGATCTTTATGCAAGAGCACTGTTTCCTTTTTGCTTCTTGTTCTTCAATGTCATATACTGGTCGATATATTTATGATGAATCTTTTTCATATGTGTAAAATAGACCCCATCTCATCACCCTCTTCCAGTCATGAAGGCCACTGTGTGAAATTATTTGCATTTGCAAAGCAATATGTTGCATTTTGATGCCATGTGATTGTACTGAAAATATGGCATCTGAAATTTGAATGAAAGCATGACAACGCAATGTCTGTGCTCCAACTAATGTTGTATATAACTGTACAGCATACATCCTGCTTTAGGAATACATGAAGGGTAACACACACTACATTATGAAGCTGAATAACTCTTCAGTTATTAGTAACCTACAGAGATTTAAAGTGTTTCTGACAATGAAACTGATGTGCACGTTGAGTATTATTAAAATCAGTATTCTAGTGTATGTAGTATCTAACAGCTTTTCTGAGAACTTTCAGAGAAAAGAACATACTGTTCCTATATAATTTTAGATGACACTGTTGAAGAAAAAGCTAAGTTGTGATTTCTATGATTTAGTCTTTGTGAGGACAGTATTGAATAAGCTGATCTTCTCTATGTGGAAAAAAAAAAGATCAGAGAATTACTAATTTTGTAAAATCAGCTTATTTAGAAGTATTCAGTTGCATCCACCCAGCACACTTCAGAAGTGTGTGAGAATATGTTGAAATAAAATACTGGGCCAAATTTTTATTTGCTGTGTCTTTAGGCTCAAGCTAGACATAATATACCAAAAGCAAATAAGCCACTTCCCTAAACTAAAGCAAATGTTTTGGAGAAACATCACAAGAAACAGTTAAGGATTAGGATATATTACATATTTTTACATGACTCTGTCCTCTGGCTTATCTTCTTTAGTGTCTTGCAAGCTTGCTGTATATAAGTCACAATTTCTTTACCGTTGAATTTGGTATGTCTTTCTTATTTTATTTATCCCCCTGAAGTTTGAAATCCCTCAGTTCAAAGAAGCCGGCTGGTCCCATGGCACATTTTGTCAGCAGTTACACTCCTTGATTTGCCCATCAAAGCACAGATGATCACACCACTGGTAGAAGGGAAGAATTGTTGAAGGGTGTGAGGGGCCAAGTGTGTTAAATATGTAAAGAATCCTTGTCCATATACCAGAACTTATTTCATTGCAACTTTTAGGAAAACAAGGTCCTAAGCATTAAACTGTTTTGAGAGACTGCTGTCTGTTTGCAAAAGGAAAATACATAACATTAGGACCATAGAAATTCCCTACTGTGTGTAGGACAGGAATCGGTACTCGTGGTCTCCGGTGGATTCTAGGATTCACTCCTTTGAAACGCTAAGTTATGAGGTGAAGCAGTGAAACGAGAGCTCCCTGTAGGGATGGTGTCCACGTGGTGGATGATGTTCTCCAGGAGCGCACGGGGTCTGCGCCTCAGCCCTTGTGAACATGCTGCAGGGAAACCTTTCCGAACTGGTAAAATTGGAGCATCACATTTGCTTGAAATATTGAAGTAAGACAGTTTTCACAGAGGGAAACAGGAACTGTTGTCTTCTCTGGGAGAGGAAGGAACCGCCCTGAGTAACTGGAGCCGTCCCTAGGGTGTCTGTCCCGTTGTGCTGCGCTGCCTTCCTGCACAGCGTGTGCTGAGCAGGGGCCCAGCTCGGGTGGGCTCTGCCAGCCCTCCTGTCCCGCCGCCCGCCACGCCAGCACGGGCCCTGTGCGCGGAGCGTGCACGGCAGGAGCTCAGGAGGCTGCACAAGGAGAACGGGACGAGTCCCCCTGCGTTCACTGGGCACGAGACCGGGCCGCGTGCAGACAGGTCTTGTTAACCATTGGCATCTCGTGACCCACAGAGAATGCTGCCTTTAGAACGACTCTGTGCAAAGACTGCATCTCAGCTCTGCTACCACCTCAAACATGTTTGGCTTGCCGTTTTCGAGGTTCTCCATAGTTATGGGCCTAATATTTTTAATACCTCTTATGATACAAATTCCCATACATGCCTCTCATTCCTGATTATAGAAGCGGCAAGTCATACCTGGATTGAAATGAATTATCGTCTAGAATATGGTTAGGTCATTTTCAGCCCCCTTCCTTGCCATTTACTCATGGACATTCAGGGTACTGCTTCGCTAGGCAGGTACAGTGGAGCCTTTGGATTTCTTTCTGATGAGAGGAAATCCCAGTTGTTACTGAACTGTGTTGAACTGGAAAGGTTGCTGGGGGCCAAAGCTAGTACCGTCAAGGTCTAGTTCAGAGTTTGGTATTTTTTCTATTGAAAGTATTGGGGTAAGAGATTCTAAGAAGCAATAAGGATAATTCAAAGAGAGGAAGTAAGAGAGGCATAACTTTTTACATACAATCAGAGTGCTATATTTATAGACATTATTTATTCTCATACTTGTATTTTTTCTTACGATATTAGAGAACAAAAAATAATTATCTTGTGTTGGATATTATATGACCTTTGAAATATGATTTGCTTGTTGGAACTCTTATAAGATGATTTATCTGTAACTAATGTCCACAATTTATCTGTATAATTGCAATTATAGATTTTATTGTTAAATTAATGTCTGTTTCTTCTTGCTTTCTTGTGCATACTTGGTGCCTTTGTATTTATCATAAAACATTTAATCAATAATACATCATAATTGTTTTCCAACTCACACAAAAGGATGCAAAAGGAATGTGTACTACAAGATAAATGCTTTCCTTCATGATAGTAGAAAAATACTGACAGAAGCAAAGTTTAGCAGAAAATTTGAAACAAAACTTAAAAGAAAAGATAATATCAACTACAAAGTATTAATATTTTTTCACTTAGACAAGGAAATATTGTAATATTTGTATTATCTCAGAATACATTAACTAGTTCTGCTGAGCAGTAGTAATTGATTTATTTTTCTTCTTTCCACTGAAGATTATTGAGAGTTTTGCATATCATATCACATTATGGTCCTTCAGCACCCTCTAGTTGTAAAGTTCTGTCTATTGACATTTCTGGAATGAAGTGCAAATGTAGAACTATAGTCAATATAGAATATTATTTTATAGTGATATTGTGGGCCAAACTAGTATTAATAAATCCAACACGTAAAATAAATGGACAAGTCTAGCAACTTGAAATATGAATTTAAATTTGTTGAAATTAAGACATTCAAGTAATAGTAAAACAAAGACCTATAAAGAACATTAGTAATTAGATTAGTTAATCATGATTTCTGCGCAAGCTGCATGGCAGCAGAATCTGTGTCAAAGGAAGGGACCATCTGTGTTTCAGCTGACATTTACTTTTAAGTTCTCCTGCCTATTGGTAAGATTTCAAATTTCTGTTCTGTCCTTAATATAGACTTCTGTATCCAGACTCTTAAGCATTTGCAGTACGGAAAAGGGTTTATTATCACTGTGCTACCTGGCCCAGGCATCTGTTTGCAGAGCCCATAAAATAACCCTCCTTGAAGGAGCATCTAAATGGTTCATTTTTTTCCTTCGACGTGCTATGATCTTTTAAGCATTTTTCTATTTCAGGATCAGAGAACACAGTCAGGCACTTCATCAGGAGTTACTATGGAGGCGAAGTCGTTCGTTGTTTAACTGCGTCCACAAATGCAAGTTACACAATAGGTAAAGATGTGAGTTAGAAGTGTATCAGCTGCTCTGCATTAACTCCCTGTTTGGATGTGTGAAGGGTACAGGGTGGGTATTTTATTTTATTCTCAGGGTGCAATCTAAAGCCACAGCTTACTTTCTCATGCTAGTTAGACTCATACTTGAGTCTTAAAATAAAAAGGTAGCTCCGTAGATTAATATGACACCTCCTCTTTTTTTCTTTCCAGTCTTATTGAAGGTTGTTAATTTTAGCTGAGATGATACGCAGGAGCCTTTTGTCTTCACAGGGAGGAAGAGAGCTTATTTTTTTGCAATTGCATCTTAGAGAAGATTGACCACTTGGAAACACAGGCAAGGACGTCTCACGGTTTTGATGTCTTCTAATTAATTTGGACTCAGTGACAGGAAATGTAGGGGTGAAGTGAGAGCTTCTTCAACGGCCTTCTCTCCATTAAAGACAAGGCACTCACAGCACCTTCAGGAGTTTCAGTGAGAGGACCCGCAAACACCGATCTGTCTGTACGCTCAGAATAAAATGCACTTTTCAGGATTTTATTTTCTAGGAAAATATTTCGCTCTGAAGAGAAACAATACTTAAGCGTACTTAAGCAATCTGTTATAGCTATCTAGGTGATTAGTGCGAGACACTATAATAGAGTTGAGACCATTGGTCTTTTCTTCAATTCAAACAATTTACTATTGCAGTTAGGAGATGGCTTGAGCTGAGGATATTTATAGAACAGATAACTCTAAATTATTTATTTTTATGAGAGTGAGACCTGAATAAATGTTATGTCAAGTGATTTTTTTCAGGCTACAGAGATCACCTAGTGCTGAAATGAGTACAAGCCTGGTGTATGGGGGATGAGGGAATAATAGGACACCACTGTCTGATGCTTTTTTATGCTAATTCTGGGATTACAGAAGAGAATGATGAAAAAAAAGAAATTTGGACACAGAGAGATTGATAGTGGTTTTGTGTCTACAGTTCAAATTGCTAACTATACAAATAGCATGCTGTAGCAATCAGCTTCTTTTATATAAATATAAAGAATTCCCCCTTAAAGAGAAAAAATATGCTTCTCTGTAGTGCCAGAAAGATACAGAACTTAATTCTTTTTGTTGCAAACTCCACACTTGAATTGAAGCAATGGAATTTGCAGGAGATGAGGTTTAGTTTCAGGTACATAAATTCCTCATGCTGCAGTTTGTCTGTCCCACCGTACCAAGCACAGCACGAGCAGCCAGGCCGCGCGCATTAGCCCCTAACCCCGAACCCGGCCTGCGCGGCCGCCCCGTCCCCGTCGCTCGGGGGAGCAGTGCCAGGAGGCAGGACAGGATTGACCCGGCCGGCCCCGTCCCCGTCGCTCAGGGGAGCAGTGCCAGGAGGCAGCGCAGGACTGACCCGGCCATCCCGGGACGCCGCGCGCGCTCGGTCCGTTCCTGGGCCCGCAGGTGCAGGGCCTCCCACGGCACAGCCAATGCGGGAGCTTGAGTCATTTCTTCCCACTGATGACGCTGAAGATGCCTCCGTGAAATATTCTCTCTCTGTGTCTTGATGTCATACAGCATTTCTGCTGTGTGTTTAATATTGTGCTGACAGAAACGTGTACCTGTCGTTCCAAAAATGGAATTCCTTGTTTGAACCAGTATGGGTATAAAAGAATCATTTATCCATCTGAGCATGCACCAGGCTGCCAGCTGAGCGTAGGTCTTAAAGACCATCCCTCTTGCACATTAAAAGGGTCACTCTATTTAAAGACCCTAACTGTGCTAGTGAATGCCAGTTCAAAACTTTTTAAATGACTAAGGAGGCTTAGACTATAGCAGTCTTTTTTGGCTTCTAGGTTGTCTATGGAGGTCAGCCATGGTTTCTGGGCCACCCTGATGGTTTTTCAGAATAGTGTTTCCAAAACCTATTCGGAATTATGGAGAATGGCAGTGACCGGCTCTCTCAAAACAAGGAAGATATGTGAAGGTGCTTCAAGCTGGTTAGTCGA